AATCATACTCACTCACTCGTGTCGTTGTTTGTTAGCTAAATCCTTTTAGTATTCTACAACCTATGTTAATGCATTGCCAAGACACCGTCATAGGCTGTTTTACCTTTCGTTTGTACACAGGACATAATGTGACATAACTGATCTGATTGTCTACTTACAAATTTGACTGAAATACTGGCAGAAATAGATGTTATCATTTTAGATTATTGATATTTGAAAAAATATACTTTTTATTTTGATATGGTCTATATTGAGTTACAGTCAGATCAATCTAAGTGTACACATTTAAAAACAACATAACAAATATTTCACACATTGCACCCAAGAGGGGAATCGGCATGATGGCGAAAGTTTTAATCAATTGGCCCCTGAACAGAAGGAAACGATTGTCTTTGGTTTGTTTTCGGACAGCTCGCCCAAACACACCCATCGCTATACAACTTGCACGTGTCTTGCGGACCTCGTGCTTTTCGTGCTCTGTATTTGACAGACGACGTTGAACATCTAACACCAACCAGTTGAAGCATTATCGCTGTGGGTCGAACACGTAAATGGCACTCCAGTCAGGAGTTTGCAATAAAAAATTAGAGAGAACTTCCGTTATCAAGAAGAAAATTTTAAATTATTTGTGACAGAAAGTTGTTATTTTCACACTTTATATGAATGTGGAAAAAGTGTACATCATTCGTTGATGTAAAGGAAGTTGTTTTTCCTGTATTTGCCTTGTTACATTTCAGACATGTTTAAGACTTATTGGGGGCGGTCGGGTAGCCTAGTGGTTAAAGCGTTCGCTCGTCACGACTAAGACCCGTTTCGATTCCTGACTTGGTACAATGTGTGAAGCCCATTTCTGGTGTCCCCTCGCCGTGATATTGCTGGAATATTGCTAAAAGCGGCGTTAAACCATATTCACTCGCTCACTTGAAAACTTATTGTTTAGTTTGTGAGGAATAAGAACTGCCTCAATCCTACAGCCACCCAACCGCCCCTACCGTTGGGAGGATTCACATGAACACTGGGCGCTGTTGGACGTTATCATGTAAGCTGCTTTCACAGAGGTTTGGTTGGTTGGTTTGTTGTTAACGCCGCACTCCGCAATATTCCAGCTATATGACGGCGGTCTGTAAATAATCGAGTCTGGACCAGACAATCCAGTGATCAATATCATGAGCATCGATCCACGCAATTGGGATCGATGACATGCATCAACTAAGTCCGCGAGTCTGACCACCCGATCCCGTTAGTTGCTTTTTACGACAAGCATGGGTTGCTGAAAAGCTATTCTACCCCGGCTCCTTTTCACAAAGAACCGTCACGCAGTACTTCACGTGTGCATTGGATCCGTGAATATCCGTGTGATAGGTTTTCGGGAACCCATCCTTGTAAGAGGCGTCTAACGGGATCTGGTGGTCAGGTTCGCGGACTTTGTTGATGCCTGTCATCGTATCCCAATTGCGTAGATCTAAACTCGTGATGTCAATCACTGGATTGTCTGGACCAGACTAGATTATTTACAGACCGCCGTCATATCGCTGGATGCGGCGTTAAACAACAAATCAATACACACACGTCATGATTTTTACATTCAAAGACGGAAAAACTTTCTATGTCCGTGAAAATATGAATTGTGCTTCGAAAAACTTGATTTATTTCATACAATGTGCTGGGCCGAATACATTGGACAGACAGGGGACACCCTAAGAGCGAGAGTGAGGGTCCACCGACAACAAGTAAGGGACCCCTCTTGCCGGTGTATCCCACTCTGTCAACACATTGATGAGTGTGCCGGGAATAAAAACACCAAATTTTGTTATATTCCCGTTTACAAATGTGACAATGATGCACCGAGAAATATAAAGGTTTTATTCATACTTTCAAACCAAAATTATATTGCCTAAAATAATGAAATTATTTTATACAATTACATGCATTATACTGCCACGACAATTTAGGAGATAAATACTGTGTATATATATATATATATATGTGTGTTAAACCCAACGCTGGTCTGTAAATGATCGAATCTGGACCAGACAATCCAGTGATTGACATCATGAGCATCGATGTACACAATTAGGATCGATGACATGCATGAACCAGGTCAGCGAGCCTGACCACGATCCCGTTAGTCGCCTCTTAGGACAAGCATAGTCGCCTGAAAATGGAAATAAAAACAAAATGGTGCTTGAGAACCAAGAATATTTAACCTTTTTAAAAACATTTTTTTTATGTGGTCAACATTTATTATTTAGATTTGTATCATCCCGATATGGCTGAAATAATGCCAGTGCCATATTCAAAATATGTCGCTCTTTCAAACATATCGACACCATTGATTGTTTTTTCGTATTTTTTTAGTATTTATTAAAAGTGGTCAATTTGATTAAAATATGGTCAATATACTATGCATGCCCTCCTCCCATGGACCACTGCTACTGTACCCTCGGCAGACAGTTTCTCAGATCTCCTCTGAAAAACAAAAGGTAGTTAAAGGCCTTGAAAGTAAAAAAATATGTAATCATAATTATTATATTCCAACATAATATAATATCAAGTCGTTGTCAGAACACCAGATCCAATCAGTTTTATTCATGTCATGTGGCCTTTATCTCATCTGATTTGGCTGGTTATCAAATCCTATTTTATCAAAGGATCTAACTAGTAATTTTGACACTCCATGATGTCATCATTCTGTTGATCTTCAAAGTTCTTTCCCCTTATCAATACTTCACGGGTTTGTATAAACCAGGATGCATGGGTAGCCCAGTGGTCTTAGGCACCACAATTCGCTGGACAGAGTTGCGTCCCTTGGATATGCCAGAAAGCTATATCATTGGTTCAGATCCCGGTTGGTACTGAATATGTTTCTTGGTTTGTCAGCTATATGCCATGATATGACACTCAGTGCTATGACTGGAATACTGTTCAAAGCATTATGTTTCTAGGTTTGTCAGCACCATACCCGTGCTCGTGGGTTTCACCGAAGTGGTAAACGTCTAAGACCTGCATCACCTCTGGCTTTCCTCCCACATTAAACTGGAATAATGTTAAAAGCGGCGTTAAACCCAACTCACTCACTGTTCAAAGCAGCGTTGAACCTAACTTACTCACTGTATAAACTTTGTTGTTAGAACGTAGTGTACACATACATGTACATACCGGTGACAAATCCACAATGCTTTTCCTGAACAAGTTTCAGGGGAAACTATAGTAGTGACTTGGCCATAGTACCCTGACAGCTGCTGAATAGAGTCTTATTTAAAAAATACATATTGAATATTATATTAATATATTATATTGACGTATTCTACCCATATCATCCCTGTACTAACTATAAACGCAAATTCTATTTAATTATTGATTCTTGGGTCCATCTGGGGACATCCTGCATATTAGATGAGCCACTAGAGCAAATGGGACAAGCGGCCTTTGTGGGAAGTTGGTAGAAAAAAGTGTATAAACATATTTTAAGCTAGCTAAGTTTGACTTCCATCAGGTTATAGCTAAAACGGCACCAGCAAATGGCACCGATCAAAAACAGCACCAAAATGGTGAAATGTGCATCATCGCCATAAAACATGATTACATTAGAAATTTAGATGAATTTAGAAATGTAAGTGTCATTTAGAAATCGAAGCAATTCATACATTTTAATTGTAGAAATCTTCAGACACCAGGTGCTGCAGTATGAGAAATATGGGATCAATTTGGAGGCAACTTTGGAAATACAAGGTGCCGTTTTTTTGCCAGATAAAATCGGTGATGTTATGCTGAGATGCTGTTTTAGCCTGCATGCACATCCAACCACCATACACATGTCTGCATACTTCATATTGCATGGTAGGTTGCTCAGGCTGCATCGTGTCGTAATGAACACAATACTTACTGCCGGAGCTGGAGGTGGAGCTGCTGCTGCCGGTGGAGGTGGGCCTGCTGCTGGAGCTGGAGCCGGAGCTGGATGTGCAGCTGGAGCTGCCGGTTGACGATGGCCTTGCCTTAGTTGCCTTATTCGTTTGGCATTCTGAAAACAATAAAGGACTATCTAATTGGAGATTTATCTCGGATATAAAACTAAGATCCTGGAGTATTTAAATTGCTAAAATTTATTTCTTTTATTAAAGTCTGAGGTAGTATTTGACCTACTGCAATGATGTTTAACTAAGTGTTTAAATGGTAATAATAAAATCACCCTTGTTCAGTAAAACATACTACCAACAAAAATAAGGGAATTAATTTACAAAAAAAATACCGTGGTGTTGCATCTGAACCCATATCTAATGCACATAATGCATGAACAGTACGTGTTGCACGAGCACACAGAAGTCAAAGTGTGTGCACTTTTAGGAATTCACAATCACTTATGCAATGGTTGGGCTGTGGGTGGTGGGAGTTAATATCCCAAATGTTTGAGAAATCAATATAATATAAGATGGTCCATCAATGAAAAATAAGTGATGGCGCCAGATGTGAGAGAAACCATTTAAACACTTCCATGTTGCAAGGTCTCTCTGGTGATTAACATTCTTCATTAACCTACACTATCGAAACAGTTCTTTCACTGCCAAGTAGTCTGTCAGTTAAAGTGCTGACAAAAGGCAAGGGTAAGAGGTGAAATGGGGTTTAAAATAACATCACATGGTGGATTTTTGCACTTATATAGCGTGCGTACGTGCTAATGAGAGTGTGAATTTATCTGCTTATACTAGTCCAGAGTAATGTTGGTTTATTGTGTAAGCCCACTGACATATGTCGCAGTTTAGCATGGATATCCCACTCAGACACAGATACCGACTCCGAGGAGGCCATTGTTAAATGCCTCTTACAAACGTGTCCGGGGATCAAACCCCTGACCATTCACTCATCGGTCAGAAGCTCTATCCAGTAGATCATGTCGCCAGTCCAACATAGGCAAGGGGCCCATGGTGTTAGTTTGCAAGTCTTTTAAGGCAATGGTGGTGAGGGTGTTAGCTACAAGTGTTTATACATACTATTAGTCTTTGTCTCAGCCGTTGACTCTCCTGCTGGGATCCTTCATACGCCCCAGCTAGGAGACCAAAGTCATCCTGTAACATGAGAATGAAGTCATAATGTAAGGGTGAGTTTATTCAGGCCTTCGTAACACTGATATTTTCAAGCTTGATGCAAGTCTGTCGTATCCTAGATATAACAGACAGGTGTATTCAGCATTGTGGCCTAAAAGTACAATTGATACTGTCACATGCATACACAGATATTGCATCTTCTTGAATCTGATAGTAAAATCATGAAAAATGTTAACATTTCAGATTTATAGTCATTATTCAGAAAGGAAGAGGCGACTAACGGGATCGGGTGATCAGGCTCGCCGACTTGGTTGATGCATGTCGCCGATCCCTATTGCGTGGATCGATGCTCATGATTTCAATCACTGGATTGTCTGGTTCACACTCGATTATTTAGACCGCCGTCAAATAGCTGGAATATTGCTGAGTGCGGCGTTAAACAACAAACCAACCAGCAAAGGAAGATATGGAATTCATCTTCAATTTCACATCTGACACAATTGGTACAAACACAATTAACAGCTTTCAATTTACGATACATATTTACATTGAAAACAAATAGAATTGCATTACCAAGATAACGAAGACCTAGATGACAGCATTCAGTTATATCTGTTTTGTTACGATAAATACCCTGGACTCGTTCACAGCAGTAGCTTAATTTTCAATCCTATTCGATTATTTACAGGCTGACGTCACATAGCTGGAATATTGCCGAGTTGGTTGGTTGTTTAACGCCACACTCAGCAATATTCCAGCTAACTGACGGCGGCCTGTAAATAATCGAGTCTGAACCAGACAATCCACACAATTGGGATAGATGACATGCATCAACCAAGTAAGCGAGTCTGACCACCCGAACCTTTTATGACAAGCATGGGTTGCTGAAGACCTATTCTACCCATGGATCTTCACGGATGTGGTTACTCTTGGTCGCCCCGACCTTCCCGGAAAATGTGTGTATTTAAAAAAAGACGCAACCTGGATTGCATGTGCGGCTTTACGACGACTGTCCCCAGCCACTGTCTTCACACATTGTACCCATTTTGGAAATCAACCCCGGGGGTTCGGCGTGACGAGCGAATAATCCAAGCAACATTGCGCTTGCGAGAGAAAGTTCCATTTGAAACTATAACATGGCGTCAACACAGAACTACATCTACTTTACATTAAGTACAACAAGTCTTTCCTGAAAATATAATATATACACATAACGTAAGAAATACTTACATGTACAAACGTGAGGAATAACAGCAGACAAATTATGTTGGCAAGAGTCGGCTGTGGTATATACACCTTGACTCACTCTATACCTCATTAGGCCAAACAAAGCCGAAGGTCCTGAAGACAATAGCGACAATAGCACACCAGGGTATTCACGTTGAAGCGCCCTTTAAGCCTTTGAAAAAGAAATAAATACTTGCAGTCTGGGTGATTACAACTCACCACTCAGTTGGGGTATGTTCTTATACATTTCCACAGCCTGTCCACTGGGCAGGCCACATGTATGGTTGGTTTGTTGTTTAACGCCGTACTCAGCAATATTCCAGCTATATGGCGGCGGTCTGTAAATAATCGAGTCTGGATCAGACAATCCTAGGATTGACATCATGAGCATCGATCCACGCAAATCGATCCACGCAATTGGGATCGATGACATGCTTCAACCAAGTCATCGAGCCTTACCTCCCGATCCCGTTAGTCGCCTTTTAGGGCAAGTGTGGGCTGCCGAAGACCTATTGTAACCTAAATCTTTCAGGGTCTGGTTGATAGTCTCATAGCACCACGAGACTGGCGACTCTCGACTAATCGTACTCTGACGGCATCAACTGTGGCTCATGCCATCAGTCACCGGTATATTTAAAGCTAACCATGGTGGAGCTAGACAGTTTTTAAACTCGCTTTAATTGTCATTCTCGTTAATACTCAGTTTAAATAAATAAAAACAATGAAATAGAGGTGTGTATGCTTACAGTGAGACGCCCATGATCTTCAATTACCTCAATGAGATTTGCCTGCAAAATATGAGGTGAAATACATTCAACTGTGTTTTCAATGGTGGTGAGGGTGTTGTTAGCTACAAGTGATTATACATACCATCAGTTGTTGCCTTAGTCGTTGTCGAAGCTGGCGACTCTCCAGCTGGCATCCTTCATAGGCCCCAGCAAGGAGACCAAAGTCATCCTGTAACATGACAATAAAGTCATTATGTAAGAGTGAGTTTAAGCTTGGTGCAAGTCTGTCGTATCCTAGATAACAGACAGGTTTATTCAGCATTATGGCCTAAAAGTACAATTGATACTGTCACATGCATATACAGATATTGCATGTTCTTGAATCTGATAGTAAAATCATGATCATGAAAATAGTAAACATTTCAGATTTATAGTCATTATTCAACATAGGAATGATGTTGGTTGGTTTGTTGTTTAACGCCGCACTCAGCAATATGGCAGCGGTCTGGACCAGACAATCCAGTGATTGATATCATGAGCATCGATCCACGCAATTGGGATCTATGACATGCATCAACCAAGTCAGCGAGCCTTGCCACCTGATCCCGTCGGTCGCCTTTTACGGCAAGCATGGTCGCCTTTTACGGCAAGCATGGTCGCCTTTTACGGCAAGCATGGGTTGCTGAAGACCTCTTCTACCCTGGGTCTTCACGGCTCTAGGAATGATGTGTAGATGTTACACTTAAATAACACATGGAATTCATCTTCAGTTTCACATCTGTCACATTTGGTACAATGACTATTAGCAACACGTATTTACATTGAAAAAATTTAGAATCTCATTACCAAGATAACGAAGACCTAGATGACAGCATTCAGTTATAATATCTCAGTTTTGTTAGGATAGATACCCTGGACCCGTTTTCAATCCTATTCGATTATTTACAGGCTGACGTCATATAGCTGGAATATTGCTGAGTTGGTTGTTTAACGCTGCACTCATCAATATTCCAGCTATATGACGGCGGTCTCGACCAGACAATCAAGTGATTGATATCATGAGCATCGATCCACGCAATTGGGATGATGACATGCATCAAATCAACCAAATCAGCGAGCCTGACCACCCGATCCCGTTAAGTCTCCCGTGCTCTTTCATCTCCGCGACGGAGGAGAAATCTTGATTCGTCGCTGAACTGGATATCTCTCCATCGCAGTTGAGGCCATACCCTGTGTTGACTGACGACACCAATGCAGTCGTTGACGATGTTGTCGACTCAATATGACGCGTCGAACAGGACGTCTTGCTCGTAGACCTGCTACTCTTACAGTTTCGTACGGTCTGGTCGGAGATTCTGCGCAGTCCGGATATGTAAGACCACAGCATTCAAAGTACATTTATTCTTGCCACAGTTTTAGACGTAGAATATTTGCTTATTTTAAGTGTTGGCTAAATTGCATATAATCACCAGCGGCTGAAGGGATGGTGTAAATCCTGCTGGGGAGTCGTGCAGGTAGCAAAAGTATTGTAAGTCCCCACGGTCCCCAGTAAGGTGGCCTAACTTTGGTTGCTGGTGATCTATAGCCCATTTTTATATTGTATTGTTGATTGAAAATGTATTCTTTTTAATGTTCTCAACTAGTTTTAAAATCCAAACTGTGATACTCTAGTTATTTTTACTGTCCTTCGATGACAGATATTTAATCTATTCAAATATTTGTATTTTATATCAGTTCTCATCACGATATGGCTGAAATACTGCCGATGTGACGTTAAATATTAAACTCACTCACTCACTGCGCAGTCCGGGTATGTGGGATGCAGTCGAGGTGACTGGTTGTCCTTTCACGTAGGCGTGCGCAGTCGGATGCAGCGATCTTGGGCGGGGGTGGTTACTCTTGGTCGTCCCGACCTTGTCCGATCACATGTTGACCCATGCTATTGAAACCGACCCCATAGCCTCGTGATGGTGCTGGGCGCTACAGCTGATCGGGATTCCTTTGCCTGCAAGCGCCCTATGACATTGTTCGTTTGCACTTCTGTTAATCTTGGCATGTTGTTGAACTGTCACTGTTCGATTGACGCAGATGCCAGGCAATCAAAAAACCTGCACTTTAATACCGTGCACTGCACGTGCAGTGTGTGCAGCTCCATGGCCCTATTGTTAATGCACTGGGTGCGTTTCTCCGAGTCGTGTTTCCCGACTAATGGTTTGCATGTCCTTCTGTGATCATTTTGATCTGAGAAATTTGTCACTGACACTATCACACATTAAACCTCTTGGTCCGCTAATTTTGCTTTTATGGCCAAAAATATCCGTAATGCGTTTTTTGTCTTTAAGAGTTTTTAGGTGAAATACATTCAACTGTGTTTTCATACATGATATCACTGCAAAAGCTACCATTCTGTGTGAGCCAGTATGGTTTTACGCCGCTTTTAACAATATCCTAGCAATATCATGGCGGGGAACACCAGAGATGGGCTTTGTACCCAAGTCGGGAATCGAACCCGGATCTTCAGCGTGATGAGCGAACGCTTTAACCACAAGGCAACCCCGCCGCCTCCTGTCATTCTGAGGATGCACGTTAATATGAGCTACATTTACAGAGAAACATTACTCAATACTTCCCATGTGTATGGCTGTAGATGCAACATTGTGTATTGTAATGAATCATTGACAGTAAAGTGTTCGTTTGTTTAACGCCGCACTCAGCAATATTCAATCAATATGACGGCGGTCTGTAAATAATCGCGTTTGTACCAGACAATCCAGTGATTGTCATTATGAGCATTGGGATACGATGACATGCATCAACCAAGTCAGCGAGCCTGACCACCCGATCCCGTTAGTCATCTCTTAAACTGTGACATGTCATTATGAGTGATGGGTACATGTAGATATGTTGATATACTGGCGTTCAAAGCTAAAGTGATGGCACATTCATTGTTTTGTTTGTTGTTAAATGCCACACTCAGCAATATTCCAGCTGACGGCGGTCTGTAAATAATCGAGTCTGGACCAGACAATCCAGTGATTAACCTCATGAACATCGATCCACGCAATTCGGATACGATGACATGTATGAACCGACTCGTGAAGATTCCGGGGTAGAATAGGTTTAATGGGACTGGGCGACTAATGGGATCGGTTGGTCAGGCTCGCTGACTTGGTTGATGCATGTCATCGATCCCAATTGCGTGGATCGATGCTCATGATGTTAATCACTGGATTGTCTGGTCCAGACTCGATTATTTTACAGACCGCCGTCATATAGCTGGAATATTGCTGAGTGCGGCGTAAAACAACAAACCAACCTGTGAAAACCTTGACGCAGTTTGGGAAATACTGGGCATGAATGAGTAGTATTTTACGGCGCTTGTTCCATCAACACCACGGCGGGCGACAAAACATCGTACCCAATAATACCGCTTGTTGTTTAACGCCGCATACAGCTGTGTGACGGCGGTCTGTAAATAAAAGAGTCTGGATCAGACAATCCAATGACTGACGTCATGAGCAACGATCATGGCAAATGGGATACGATGACAGGCACCAACGTCAGAGCGAGTTAAAATTTAACGTCGATTCGGCATTATTTCAGCCAAATAGCGAAGAGACCCACGTTTTATTTTAAAACAATTTATGAAACACATTTTGGCAAAAACATTAATTGTACAGTTTTATAACACGGGCTGTAGGCCACCAGTAACCAAAGCTCGGCCACCTCGCTGGGGATCATGCGGATTTACGGTGCCTCTGCTTCCTGCATGATATCCCAGCAGGATTAACGTCACCACTTTAGCTACTGTTGGTTGTGCACAATACTAGCCAATATTAAAAAAAATACTCAGAAATGAGTTGGCTTAAAAACACTGGTTGATGATAGGATAACGTGTCCGTGGGGATTAATAATTTTACCGTACTTCAACCTCCTGGAGCCTTCAATAAATGTCAGTTGGTAAAATCATCTCACCAAATTTTAAAACAAGCAATAATTTATTCACATACATATTTAACATTTATTATACAGACCAATTTCTTTCAAGTAGCTGATAATGAGAAGCCTGCTTACACGGGAAAAGAGATCTTTCAGATTTACTGTTTGATAATGTGAATCCCTTGCTATTGTTGCAAGACGTTGAAGCTTTTCGCGTCAAATGTGCTGAAGTAAACTTGTCCAATGGGTCCAGAGGGTCACCAGTATCAAGTTAGGGGAATAATGCTCACAGCGATTTTTGGCAAGGTATGGACCCCTAGAGTTGGAAAATGTGTGATAGCATTGCAGCGGTGGCAGCTTTTTGGGTGTTATCACCTTTTTTTCAAAATGGCCGCCAAAATACGCGTTACCACATATAAGTGGCCACATCTAAGCTCATAGAGCAGGTGGCCGAAATTTTGGACCGAGGCTGATGGCCTATAGCACCCCATTATCCCCGGTCTTTGTAGCGTGGAGATCCGCTGAAGAAGAAGACTGTCCTTGTTGACACTCCATGGTGGGTGGGGAAAAGGGGTGCTGAATCTTCTCCCTTTCGACATGGCTTCCCAACACCCTGGTTCAAAAAGACGACATGTAGAAAGTGACGAGACTACTTCGCCCATTCGGTCTGAGTATTGGCCACGTTTCTTGGTTACTAAGGCTTGAGACAAAGAATCCATCAAACTGAATCCATTGGGGGTGCACGGGTGGCCCAGTAGTCTAAGGCGCCACGATTCGCTATGCAGAGTCGCGTCCCTAGGGCACGCCAGAAACCTATAATTGTGTGTTCGAATCCAGGTACGCCCCGATTATGTTTCTAGGTTTGTCAGCACCATACCCATGCTCGTGGGTTTCATAGTAGCGGACAGCCGTGACATAACTGGAATACTGTTAAAAGCGGCGTTAAACCCAACTAACTCACTCACTCACTCACTCACTCACTCACTCTGACATCTAAATACAGCGTTGGTCATTCTTCCTTTTCAGACTTAACCTTGCATCCGATATTTGGAAGAGCATGCAGGGGCACCCCTTAGTCATGGCAGAATCTCCAGATCGTTCCAGTTGGCCTTATTGACACAAAGGCGCCACATTTAGATTTGCAGATTTAGTCGAGCCACAACTCCAGATTCCAGATTCCAGATTCTGTAGAGTTTGATTTGTTAGCACCATACCCATGCACTCACAAGTTTTACAAGTGGAAGACCGCCTCCGCGGTCCAGTGGATAGAGCGTCCGCCCGGAGAGCGAAAGGTTATTGGTTCGATCCCCGGCATCGTCATACCAAAAGACATTAAAAGATGGTACTGATTGTTACCCTGTATGATTATTGGCGTTAAGGGGCTAAAACAAGGACTGGTCAGTAGAGTAAACTACGGTTATAACGAACTCAAAGGGACCACTAATTTTAGTTTGTTATAAGCATACGAGGGGATATCAAAAAGTTTTGAGCCTCACACAGTATTCCTGGTCGAATGGTACAATGCGCTACACCTGGTGTACATGAACGTCTTAGCTACTGATGCTATGTAGAAACATATTGCTGGCTGCAATTATTTTGTCACAACACTTCGTGGAAGAGACCTACCCCTAGTGAATTGGCAAAATGGACAAATCTGAGGACAGAGTTCCTTGTCCTAGAGGGTCAATCTGCCAAACAGGTGGAAGAGCGATTGACTGCAGTTTATGGAGAGTCTTCCCCATCGTCTGCAACTACCAAACGGTGGGTGAAGGAATTTCAGCGTCGCAGAGAGAGCTTAGAAGATGATGCCCGGTCCGGACAGCCATCAACCAGTACCAGCCCTGAAAACATTGACACTACACAAACTAGTGATGGAAAACTGCCGTATTACTCTCCGTGATCTAGAAGAAACAACAGGCCTATCATATGGATCCATACATAATATAATTCATGGCAATCTCCACATGTCCAAAGTGTGTGCCAGATGGGTCCCGAGAATGCTTACAGATGACATGAAGCTATCAAGGGTCACCATCAGTGGAGCCTTGCTAACTCGGTACAACGCCAACCCAGATGATTTTCATTTTAGGATTGTAACCAGTGATGAAAGCTGGGTTTATCATTATGATCCTGAGAGCAAATAGGAGTCGATGGAATGGAAACACGCTACTTCTCCAAAGACAAAGAAATTCAAAGCCACCAGATCCACCAAGAAGGTTATGATGACCATCTTCTGGGACAGCAAAAGAGTGATTCACATCGACTACCTGCCCCATGGCACCACAATGAATGGGGAGTATTACGCCAAGTTATTGAAGCAGGTGCGCCAATCCATCAAGGTGAAACGCCGTGGAAAAATCCGTCGTGGGATTCTGCTTCACCAGGACAACGCACCAGTCCACAGGAGCCGTGTTGCAATGACAGCTGTGCAAGAATGTGGCTACGAACTCCTCCCTCACCCACCCTATTCTCCAGACCTAGCCCCCAGTGACTTCCACCTCTTTCCCAGGCTGGAAACGCCTCCGGGGCCGGAGATTTGAAGATGACGATGAGCTAACTGCTGCTGTGGAGGGTTGGTTAGGGGACCAGAATGTTGACTTCTACCGATCGGGCATCAGTGACTGGCAAACTAGGTGGAACAAGTGTGTGGAGTTGGGAGGGGACTATGTTGAAAAATAAAGTTGTAACAATCCAATTCTTTTACTTTTTCTGTGTGAGGCTCAAAACTTTTTGATATCCCCTCATAAATACAGCATAACTAGTCGGGACCAAAAAAATAAGTTTGTTACTGTTTGTTTGTTAAACAGCCTCGTGGTATCTGAGGGGGCTAAAACAAGGACTGGTCAGCTCGGAGTCAGTATACTGTGTCTGAGTGGGGTATTCATGTTGAACTGCGTCATGGTATCTGAGGGGGCTAAAACAAGGACTGGTCGGCTCGGGGTCAGTATACTGTATCTGAGTGGGGTACTCATGGTATCTGAGTAGGCTAAAACAAGGACTGGTCAGTATACTGTGTCTGAGTGGGGTATTTATGTTAAACTGGGTCATGGTATCTGAGGGGGCTAAAACAAGGACTGGTCCGCTCGGAGTCAGTATACTGTGTCTGAGTGGGGTACTCATGGTATCTGAGTAGGCTTAAACAAGGACTGGTCCGCTCGGAGTCAGTATACTGTGTCTGAGTGGGGTGTTCATGTTCAACAGCATCATGGTATCTGAGGGGGCGAATACAAGGACTGGTCGGCTCGGGGTCAGTATACTGTGTCTGAGTGGGGTGTTCATGTTAAACAGCATCATGGTATCTGAGGGGGCGAATACAAGGACTGGTCGGCTCGGGGTCAGTATACTGTGTCTGAGTGGGGTGTTCATGTTAAACAGCGTCATGGTATCTGAGGGGGCGAATACAAGGACTGGTCGGCTCGGGGTCAGTATACTGTGTCTGAGTGGGGTGTTCATGTTAAACAGCGTCATGGTATCTGAGGGGGCGAATACAAGGACTGGTCGGCTCGGGGTCAGTATACTGTGTCTGAGTGGGGTACTCATGGTATCTGAGTAGGCTTAAACAAGGACTGGTCGGCTAGGAGTCAGTATACGGTGTCTGAGTGGGGTATTTATGTTAAACTGCGTCATGGTATCTGAGGGGGCAAATACAAGGACTGGTCGGCTCGGGGTCAGTATGCTGTGTCTAATGGGTTATTCATTTTAAACTGTGCAATGGTATCTAAGAAGCCACATTGTCCACAGGCTGTGATACGGAAATCAGATGGGTTTTAGATGTAATGTTAAAACATATGAAGCACAAAGATCGCAAGAGCTGCACAGATCAGACAAATATCAGCCTTTAATTAACAAAATTACCGTATTCTTTCACATAGATTGTCTGCATGTTCCTCTTCCTAATATATTGTCGAGAGCTGCCTGTACAAGCAAAACAAACTTTACCTTTGATGGCAATAAGAGTATTCATTTGTCAATTATGTATTGAAATACTATTTATCAAAAATAAAAAAAAATGACAAAACCAATTGCATGATTAATTTGCGTACTTCAGTATGGATTTGTTGACAAGGTATTTCGAGTGTTACGTGCTCACGGCAATATCTTTCCATGGGGAAAAAAACTCATCAAAACTCATTAGTGAGTGAAATAACAAGCGGAATTTCTTGCGATCATTGATTCACCCAATCATAAATCCTGGTTGGTCAGCACCTCTACTGATTGCCTTGTAGTCTCTGCAAATAGTTGTGCAGTGTTGCATCCCCTAGGCATACCAGAATCCTATGATTAAGGGCTGAATCCTGGTTGGTCAGCACCTTCACTGTACTTTTCAAAAGTGGTTTTGTGTTTTAATGCTGCACTCATTCCCGGTTATATGATGGCTGGCTGTAAAGAATGAGTCTAGATCAGACAAACCAGTGACTGATATTGTGAGCAAACATGCCACACCATCAATCAACGAAATTACCACGTCTGAACACAATCTTAAAGGATGTCTTGTATTCTCTTTCTTTGTTGGTTGGTTGCTTAAATACCTATTCTAGCCCGATGTTCACAGGTACCACAGAATAGTAACGTTAGTATCATGTAACATTTGTGTTACCCCGTATTTTGCTTTGGCAAAGGCCTGCATGTTCAACAAATACATCATTGTATGTCAAATTCTCATTTCTGAAAGCAGTCACGTTTACAAGCGAAAAACTCAAAATTGTAAACGAAAATATGACTTTATTTACACTCAATGCCTGGAAATGAATGATACACATGACAAATATTTACACAGCACTATAGCTCCTAGTGTAGTCAGTCTCTCATCAGATTCTCATTGTGTTTCACAAATCCTTGAAAACAAACATCTCTAACAAGTTACTGAAGCATACATAAAATCACATTCAACCGCCCCTCTTCCTAGTCTGACCAGCTGAGTGCACAAGTTTGAAATAAAATCATAATTCATAACAGCAGTGTCACAACATACTACAAATCCAACAAAACGCAACATATTTTAAAGATTCACTCGAAGATCAGAGTTCAGTTGCACAAATAATGCTTGTAAAAAACAAAAAAAATATTAAGTGTGTGTACATAAACTTTACACGTACACTTGTCAAGCCGCTAGCTAATTAAACACATCTTATTTGACTCAATGGAGTTATTAGTGAGCTAACATTGAGAAATCAAAACATTTCTACTTTGAAGTATTTTCAAGTTTCAAAACTGCTTAACAGCTCAAGAAGTCGCGCATTAACATTGTATTTGTTACAATCACATTCAGGCAACACATCCCTTACAAACCATGCTGAATGTTAAGATAATATTAATCTGAGACATCAACTGATGAAATTTCATTGTTCAATGCTGCTGTCAGTAAATGTTTTTGTCCCAGACATTCTGGCTATACCCCAGTGGGGTGCACAACAGACAACGCCACCATGTCTTGGCCATGCCCTAGGGGTGTGCATTCTGTGGCCACGAGTGAGTGAGTATGGTTTTAGCAATATTCCAGCAATTTCACAGTTGGGGAAACCACAAATGGGCTTCACACATTGTCCCTTGATTGATTAGGGAATCGAACCCAGGTTTTCAGCAGTGTGACGAGCTAACGCTTTAACCTGTAGGCTACCCAACCGCCCCTGTGGCCATGAGCAAGACAAAATTTACCCAGTGGTCTTAAGGAATAAACAAACCATTCCAAATACAAATACCGTATTCCACATAATAAGCGCCCAGGGCACTCTCAAAATTAGAAATAGGGACCTCTTATTAGAAAACACTTTCGGTGAAAAAAACCCAACAGTGTTGAAAGATTTCGTGGTTAATGCTGACAGCCTGAAATGATAGCCTGTATTATTCGCAAATAACTGTCTTGTGTACATTGATCAATCGGAAGGTGTGCTAATTGGGATTGTTCACTAGCCAATATATTAGCAAATATCGCCGTGGGCGCTTAGAATGGGGTGCTCATTACGTCGACTACGGTAGTCTTTGATACAAAGTGGATTGTGAAGTAGTTTGTTTCAAATACATCACGATCAGTCTTAAATCTAGACCAGCTACAAGGCCAATATTCATCTCAAAGTCTGTACCAAAAGACAGAATATAAATCTCAAATGTGAATGAACAATTTCCCAATTCATATCTATATAGTCACATAATATAATGGCTTGGTCTAGGTGACTCGTATTTGTTTGTTTATTGTTTTTAATGGTGCACTCAGCAATATTCCAGCTTTATGGTGGTAGTCTGAAAACAATTGAGTCTGGAGCAGACAATCCAGTGATTGATACCAGAAGCATTGATCTATGCCATTGGGATAAGATGAAATGCATCAACAGTGTCAGCTAGCCTGACCACCTGATCCCATTAGTTGCCTCTTAATACAAGCATAGTCGCCTTTCACAGCAAGCATGGGTTGTTGAAGATCTATTCTAATCCGGGTGTACACAGGTGACTTGTATTTATACTGGTTACAGGACCACTATAGAAGAAGAGCCTAAAACGCTTAATTTTACATTACTGCATAAAATGTATTGCTGATATAAAGGGTATCTAAAACAGGAGTTCATGATGTCCACAGACTAGCCACCTCGGTAACACATGCAGCCGTTGTCTTGACAACATCACAATGACCATCTCAGAGTGAGTGAGTGAGTGAGTTTGGTTTTACACCGCTTTTAGCAATATTCCAGCAATATCACGGCGGGGGACACCAGAAATGGGCTTCACACATTGTACCCATGTCGGGAATCGAACCAGGGTCTTCGGGGTGACAAGCGAACGCTTTAACCACTAGGCTACCCGACCGCCCCGACCATCTCAGAAACACCTGCAGCTGTTCGTCTGAGGTCTTCAGACTAGCCACCTCGGTAACACATGCAGCCGTTGTCCTGACAACATCAGAATGACCATCTCAGGAACACAGTCTCAGGAACACCTCTCTTGAGGTCTTCAGACTAGCCACCTCGGTAAGACATGCAGCCGTTGTCCTGACAACATCAGAATGACCATCTCTGGAACACAGTCTCAGGAACACCTGCAGCTGTTCGTCTGAGGTCTTCAGACTAGCCACCTCGGTAAGACATGCAGCCGTTGTCTTGACAACATCAGAATGACCATCTCAGGAACACAGGCCCAGACTCTCAGAAACACCTGCAGCTGTTCGTCTGAGTTCTTCAGACTAGCCACCTCGGTAACAAATGCAGCCATATTCTTGACATCAGAATAACCATCTCAGGAACACCTGCAGCTGTTCGTCTGAGGTCTTCAGACTAGCCACCTCGGGAACACATGCAGCCGTTGTCCTGACAACAACAGGCTGACAGTCTCAGGAACACCTCTCGAGGTCTTCAGACTAGCCACCTCGGTAACACAGGCTGCTGTCCTTTATTCTCTTCATCTATGGAACATACACTATCTTCAGGCGTACATCACACATACACAGCTTTCACACAAGGCTTCAGAGTAATCGCTGCCAGAGCTCATCCAGACTGATGTCTGAACAGATGGTGGCACTATCACTGTAGCATCTCCCCGACTGACAGCGAGTCAGGCCCCCCCTGTCGCGCTCACTGCTCCATGTCGGCGTCCTCAAACTGACCCAACTCCATGTTCTCCTCCCCAACTCCTCCACCACCACCTGAAACAGCAGCAACAGTCTCAGCATGGAGAATACAGAGTTCCGCACTCAGCAATATTCCAGCTCTCTGACGCCTGTCTGTAAATAATGAAGTCTGCACCAGACAATCCAGTGATTGACATCATGAGCATTGATCCACGTAAATGGCATGCATCAACCAAGTCAGCGAGTCTGACCACCCAATCTTGTTAGTCGCCTCTTATGACAAGAATAGTCGCCTTTTACGGCAAGCATGGGTTGCTGAAGACCCATTCTACCCAAGATACTCACGGTCGTGTAATTAGTGACACGCATCAACCAAGTCAACCATGCATCCCGTTACTCTACTCTTACAACAAGCATGGGTTGCTGAAGACCAATCTTAACCTGGATCTTGGCATGTACATGACAGATTATTGTATGTTTGTTGTTTTACATCGCACTCAGCAATATTCCAGCTATATGACGGCGGTCTGTAAATAATCGAGTCTGGACCAGACAATCCAGTGATAGACATCATGAGCATTGATCCACGTAATTGGGATCGATGACATGTATCAACCAAGTCAGCGAGCCTGACCATCCAATCCCGTTAGTCGCCTTTTACGACAAGCATAGTCGCCTTTTACGGCAAGTTATGGTTGCTGAAGACTTATTCTACCTCGGAATCTTCACGGGTCCCATGACAGATTAACTATAGTAATAAGAAAGAATCGTGTGGCCTTTAACTTCTTTTGAGCAGTATAAAATATTGAGTCAGAATAACACTTTCCCTGAATGAGGACATGGAACTAGTTGCACTCACCCCTGTGGTGGCCGTTCTGCTGCCCCTCAGCTCCATCGCCTTGCCCCACCTGTAACAGATTGTCTAGATGCTGTAGAGTTGCTTCCCCTTGCTCTGTCAACTGACCTTCACCTTCTTCTCCTGTGAAGAAGTCTTCTACAAAATTGAATAAGATGTGCAAAGAAATGATCAATAAGTACTGCATTCAATTAAATCAAAACAGTGACAGGTCATAACACAGGTTAAGGAACACTGGAAGGTACAGGAATTGCTCCCCTTGGCATTACAGAGCCATTTGGCAATATTTCAGCTATATGACGGCGGTCTGTAAATAACAGTCTGGACCAGACAATCTAGTGATTGACATCATGAGCTTTGATCCACGAAATTGGGATACGATGACATGCATCAACCAAGTCAGCGAGCCTGACCATCCAATCCTGTTAGTCGCCTCTTACGACAAGCAAAGTCATTTTTTACAGCAAGCATGGGTTGCTGAAGACCTAGTCTACCCCGGATCTTCACAGGGCTGCTACACACTTCCTATACCTGTATATGTTAGTAAAGTATATGGATGAGCTTCTACAGCACAGCACTTTGTTTAAAGTAGAGTTGGCATATTGGAACGTAAATCGAATTGCAATATATGTAACCTCATTAAAATAAGATCTTTGTTCTCGCTACCGCTAAAGAACGATCTGTGGACATCACATTACGGGTCACGTCAGACCGACCTTGCCCGAACTTTGACCGACCAATGGAATGACCAATCAGAAGGCAGCTTTCTCGTGCTTTACGGCACAAATTTCAAATTGGCTACTACGCTTCGAAACATATTTTTGACAAATTCTCCATTACAAATTTTAAACCTGAACAAAAAAACATTCTGGAATGGCTAATAGATGGTCTAGATTGTAAGGATTCAGTCGTTAAACCCGTAACTATCGTTCAGAATACACCATGTTAAACTTTTCAGGATTGCATGACTAGAAATCACATTCCGACTGTCACTTTCATAATCTGGTAAGCGATGCTCTGATTGGTCGAATGAAAGGTCGTTCTAACGTGACCCCTAATGGGATGTCTTCAGAACTTTGTTTAGCGGTAGCGAGAAGTAAGGTCTGATTTTAATGAGATTGCAATATATCGCAATACAGAGAGATGTAATGCGAAACATATTGCAATACGTATTAGGGCCCCAATTATATGTATTTGTACTGTTCAAAATAATAATAATATTTCTTCATTCAATAATCCAGACTTCGGATTGCGAGATGGGTAGTGTGGATAAAGGAGACTACCTATTACATCGTCAATATGGAATGTTAATTTAAACAGTCTGAAGCATGTGCCTCAAGATAGTAGATAGATTATTTAATTATATATACATTCTTCTGTGACTATTGGAATATATCAATACACAAGGATTGTATTATGATATGTGTATTGCTGATAGACGTGTTGCAATATATTGGTATACCAGTTATATTGCACACCCCTAGTATAAATGCTATTATCGATGTTTCCATTGGTTTCATTAGTTCTAAATTCAGTTTAGTTTAAATATACGGGCAACCTGGCTTCTGCCATGTTGACATCCTGACTAACATCTTGTTTTCTTATGTAAGAAAGAAACCTTCAAACAATATATCGAAAGCGAGGAGGTACAAGTTTTGTTTTTTTTGTTTAATAAATCACTCAGCAATATTAAAATTCATTGAGTCTGGATCAGGCAAACCAGTGATTGTCATTCTAAGCAATATCCAACACAATTGGAACTTGATGAGTAAGTGAGTTGGGTTTAACATCGCTTTTAACAGTATTCCAGTTATATCACATCGTGTCAGCATAATGTGGGAGGAAAGCCCGAAGTGATGCAGATCTCAGACGTTTATAACTTCGGTGAAACCCACGAGCACAGGCATGGTGTTGACAAACCAAGAAACATAATCGTGGCGAACCGGGATTCGAACCCATAATCATAGGTTTCTGGCGTACATGACCTAAAGAGTGAGTAGGGTGAGGTGAAGTGTAATTGGGTTTAACGTCACGTCCAAGATTAGTGCACTTATATAGCGAAATGCATGCACGTGTGTGTGGCTGCTTGAACTAGACCGGACTGATGCCGATTTATAGTGCTAGCCCTCTGAGATACCATGTTGCATTTTAACATGAATACCACACTTAAAAACAGTATACTGACTCCGAGCCGACCAGTCCTTGTTTTAGCTCCTTAATGCTGAGCATCAGACAGGGTAACAACAAGTACCATCTTTTAATGTCTTTTGGTATGACACGGCTGGGGTTCAAACCCCGGAGCTTCCGCTCTCCGGACTGACGCTCTACCACTAGACCACGGAGGCGGTAGAGTGAGTAGGGAGTTCGCTGCAAAGTCAATGCATGAGGTGATGTGTAATTGGGGCCAACTGATTTGTCAGATTTATGTGAGACTGGAAAATAGCGGACATGGGTATCGAGAAAGTTTCGTAGTAAAATAGAATAGGACAACCAGACCTACTACCTTATGTCCTTTTTGCCCTAAATTAACTCAGCTTAAAATTCAGCTCGAAGGCAGTTGACCTACAATATAAACCAACCACCTACCATCTCCGTCAGCTTCTGAGTCGGAGTCTTGTGGGTCCGGATGTAGGGCTTGGCAGTCATTCATGGCAAGAAACATGGCGTCCACTGCAACACAGACAACCAGGATGAGAACATCCCATCATACACATCCTCCCCACAAAGTAACACTAACAGATACCGGGATGTTAGCAGACATCCACTTTTGAAATCTTAGTACAAGTGGCTGATTTGGCTTATATTCAGATCATTTTCTTGGCATTCAAGTCCTTCTGCATGAGACAGTGATGTAGGTCTCGGATGTTTGCCACTTTGGAGAAACCTACGAGCACGGGCATGGTGCTGACAAACCTAGAAACATAATCAGGGTGAACTGGAATCCAGAACCACAATTCTGGCATGCCCAAGGGAAGCAACTCTGAACAGCAAATTGCGGCGCCATAGGCAAATGGACCACCTATGCCCCTAATCAGAACACTAAAGCTATAATGATTACCGTATTCGGCGTAATAAGCGCCCCGCTCTAATAAGCACCCACGGCGATATTTGCTAATATATTGGCAAGTGAACAATCTCAATTAGCACCCCTTCCGAATGATTAATGTACACAAGACTTATTTATTCGTGTTTCATACGCACTCGCGTGTTATTTGCACCCTCAATTATCGTCAATTAAATTCTGGAATAATATATCTGTCGTGTATAATACGCACAGACTTTTCTTTTGTCTCATTTCAGACTGTAAGCATACACCACGAAGTTTACGATCTTTCAACTGGTTTTTTTTCACCAAACTTTCATTCTAACAAGAGCCCCCTATTTCTAATTTTGAGAGCGCCCAGGGCGCTTATCACGTCGAATACGGTAAGTATTTTCAAGACCACAAATACAACTTAAATTATTTTTTTCATCATCTGAATTCTTCTCATCATTTAACACTGTATACTCTTGTTACTCCTAAAACGTATGTACTGTTATTACAAATGCATGAAAATCAGAAACCAAAAATTCAATATATTCTGAAGAGTTAATCATGGCCTTAAAGAATGCTGAGATAAATCTCTTAACTTACATGTTCCTCTGTCGCTTGGTACAAAGCGAACTTCTCCGATTGGTTGGTCGTCTTCCTCCTCCCCTTCAGATGACCCGTCCTGTGCCTCGCCTTAACAAGAACACCAACGACATTTCATGTATGTCAGAACACAGACAATGCGAATGAATAAAGGCTCACCTGCAATAAATATCTACGTTCTAAAGAAAAAAATCTCTCCAGTCTGTCTAAGCTTATTTTACAATCAATTTATCGCACACATAACTAAACAAACAAATATACCGTTTTACTTTTATTGGTCGGTAAAATAGTCAGTGTCAGAGGAGGTACATGAATTATACAGACCACATTGCTTGAAACAATATCATGTGACAATTGCATTTTATACCTTAACATGTTAAATGTTCTTTTATGCATGCTTCAGTGACTTTGCCCAAGTACGTAATAGGCCAAGTTCTGTGGTTTGAATTGAAAATCAACATTTTCAAGAGGTCACCCTAGCTGCTTCAGGATAATTCATATTACTTACTTAGGCCACGAACCCCGAATCAATCCCCTAGTGGATGTTTCTGAGCTTACCATAATGTTCTTACCATTTAGGCAAATGTGTGTGTGTGAGTTGGGTTTAACGCTGCTTTTAACAGTATTACAGTTATATCACAGCGTGTCAGCTTAATGTGGGAGGAAAGCCCGAAGTGATGCAGGTGTCAGAGGTTTACCACTACGGTGAAACCCAGGAGCACGGGTATGGTGCTGACAAACCTAGAAACATAATTGGGGTGAACCGGAATTCGAACCCACAATCATAGGTTTCTTGCGTGCCCAAGGGACGCAACTCTGCACAGCGAATGGCAGCGCCTAAGACGACTGGTCCACACGTGCCCCTTTCGGCAAAGGCTTAGGCAGATGAGTGAGTGTGCAAGTTTGAACAGTATTACAGTTATATCTCGGATGTGTCGGCTTGATGTGGGAGGAAATCCAACAGTCATAAAAGTCTTAGACATTTACCACTTAGGCGAAGCACCATCTTCCTGAGTCGGAGTTAACCGACCATAAAAATCCAGTTTCCGCTCCTTGGCGAACCAAGATGCAATTTTTTAGCTAATGGTTCATTGGAGTGACAATCTATGCATAGTCCAACTCAAGATTGTGTTATCGACATCCTGTTCGTCAAAAACATGGACAATTGGCTGATTGCTGGATTTGCAAAGCATGTATGTGTAAATTACTGTAATGTCAACTTGGGGTCGACAGGTATTTTCTAAATCTGAACATGCTCAAGCGTTGTACTCCAAGCCACATGCATTGGGTGTCTGTGAGGCAGTGAATGTGAAACTTTTCTTCGATTCCCTTGAGATTGTCCTAACTGGGCGCCACCATTTTATTTGAAGAAAATGCAAGGGATGTGAGAGGTGGAATCTGATTGGTCAATAGGAGGGACACATAGACATGATAGAAGGGATAGTCACTGGTGGCGCTATAATCGTGCCTTGAAATTCTAGCCTAGTCGGCAAGGGTGGAAACTGGACTTTCATAGTCAGTTACCTCTCTTGACTCAGGAAGAAGGTGAAACCCAAGGACACAGGTATGGTGCTAGGCGAATCTGGGATTTAATCCAACAATATAGGTTTCTATCATGCCTAGGGACGCAACTCTGCACAACAACTGGTGGTGCCTTAGACGACTTACCCACTCAAACTCCTTAGGAAGAAGACGAAAACATTTAAGCAGTGTCCATACCTGATAATTTGCCCTCCACCATCAAATACAGACATTCTTGAGGGAAACTGGATGTGTCTCGCGAGACTGCATGCAAACTTATTGCCGGGTATTCCAGTGAGAAACCTCGTCCATTTTCACCCATCCATGACAACCGGCTGAAACGAGAGAAAATAATCTATGTATAAATATGTCAGATAAGGAATACCGAATGAAAATGTCAAACTTGTAGATAAATAGATAATGTTACTTAAAGACCGGTCTAAAATGACACAAAATTTATTGCCTTTCTGCAACATAGAGGGTTCCATTTCCTAAAGTGCTGCCATCGATATTCGCTACTGTATTCTCTTGTTTATGCCGAATTCCTTCTGTAGGAGGTGGGAAGCTTGTCAGTATCACCATTTTTTACTAATTCAGAGTAAATAAACACTACTATCAATCGAGATGCCTCTTCGATACCAAGAAGCGTGATCCTCACGTTGATACTACGCGCCAGCTATTTCTACCAATGAAAACAACCCTCATATTAACTGTGATTCTACCGGAAGTATTTTAATGTTTATTGTCCAATCAGCATCATATATGCATTTACATCCGTAGAAACCGGATACAGATTAGTGCGCGATATCTGGCCGATAAGTGTGAATTATTTATTTTCCAGTATTCTTATGTTTTGCCTCTTCATTTCCCACGATCGGTAAGCAGCCAAAAGAAAGTATTGAAACTGCCACAAGAGCATCACCTCTCACTGAAGCTGCGTTGATTTGCTGGCGCCGGCAGTTGGTATACACGTCGTCTCGGTGGCTGAGCTGTCAGCTGGCGTGAGTGATTCTATTTATATATCTGAATACAATGTCAAATGGCAAGTTCAACACAGTGAATATGTTGACAATTATGAGTTGATACTTGGATAGTTTGCTACAGCATTGTTTGGAGGGAACAAAGATAACACATGTAATGTCCATATCTAACCGTGTTAGTTACATAGAACCATGTTTACATTTTATCACACAAAAATACCGGTTAGTTTATTCAGCTGGTTATCTACATTGTATATAAATAATTCACGATAAGGATGGTTTTAAACTGTCACCTTTTAGTATGATATATGTTGTATGGCATATATTTTAAGTTGCATATGCTCTCATTTCCAAAATCATGAAAATCAAATTCTGTTGTTTTTCTCCCAGTCTAAAATTCCATGGATCCCATGACACATATTCTGACTTAAAAGCTGTTTGGCAATTAGGTTTTGGGTATATCAGTGCAAGTTTCAGTCAATAAAATAACACAATGAAGACCAGAGTTTCTATCATGCTCATAAGCTTAGGACGAAGTATTCAGTTATTTTTCTTTAGAGACCTGTTACCAGGTTATAGCTAAAATGGCACCTCAGCAATAATGAATGCCAGAAGCAGACAAAATAAGATTTGAAAGAAAAAGAGAGTGGTGTCAGTCCTGTCACAAGTACTGGTCAAAATGGCAAATTTTTACTGGCGCAAACAGATGCAAATAGGAGAAATTTACCCGCTCCTCGCTGACGAAAACATTCTGTGAAAAGTCAATAAAATAGGCCTAATAGAAACTGTAATGAAATGTTTAACAAGTCACTCTACCATGTCTACATGCTTTAGAACATATAGGACCGCCTCTGTGGTCTAGTTGTAGAGGGTCCGCCCGGAGAGCGGACGGTCCCGGGGTTCGATCCCCGGACACGTCATACCAAAAGACATTAAAAGATGGTACTTGTTGTTACCCTGTCTGGCGCTCGGCATTAAGGGGCTAAAACAAGGACTGGTCGGCTCGGAGTCAGTATACTGTTTCTGAGTGGGATATTCATGTTAAACTGCGGCATGGTATCTCAGAGGGCTAGCACTATAAATCGGCATCAGTCCGGACTAGTACAAGCAGCCACACAAACACACACACGTACATGCACGTCGCTATATTAGTGCAATAATCTTGGACGCGACGTTAAACCCCATTTCACCTCACCTCACCTCACCTCACCTTAGAACATATAGATAATGAGCATGATGAGATATATAATTATGCAGTCACTGAGTTGTGGATGCTGAGTCATATTGTTTTCTCTGCAACTCTGAATGTAATTCCTGAACAGGTTTAAACAACGTGTCCATTCAGGTTACCATATTATTATTGTGACTCCTTGATCATGGGAAAAGTTATAAAAACTGTGTGCATACAATTGAGCACATCTTGTGAAGTCAAGTAATCCTGGTAACCATGGTAACAGAAATTTGAATACCCAGATAGAATTACTGATACCCAACGATTTTAAAATGCATCGGTAAAATGCCAAAAGCTTATCTGGAGCTCTGCCTGTACATCACTTACATACGCTGTATGACATGCTGTATAGTGTATGAGATGTTTACTAAAGGTGTACTGAATACATGCAAAATTGATGTAATGACCGATATGTCTGTTAAGTGTTCAAATTAAGGGAGTGTCCTTGAGGTTTGTTCCTATAGTATTTCAATTTGAAGACCCCCTAAATCTTCAACTGTTATCAGTGTTACTCCTGGACTTTCCTGATTAATTTCGAACACTCTTTCAAATATTATCAATAATGTTTTGCTTTTAACACACAGTGCCATTTAGAAAGTGGTCAAATGTACCAAATGTTATATTTGGGATAACACTTCCTTAGTAAGGTACAGATTCTAGTACTTTTGGGGGTTGAGTCCCATCCAGGATTCGAACCCACACTTGCCAGAGAGAGGCACCTAGTCGCCAGCACACAAAGTCAGTGATCTAACCCACTCAGCCATTGAGGCTTCCACAAAAATGAAAGGCTGACAGCTGGTAGTCTAGATCACATACTTTGGGCCAATATGTTTTATCATTTGGGTCTATTTTGTCGTCATTATGGGGTTGATTCCACCCAACTTGGGCCATTTTGGCAATAACTGTCACACATAATTCATTATGCTGTACCTTTGTTTCAGTATAAGGACACGTACATGATATATTAACCGTTAAAAATGCTATTTTACAAAATTTAACATGGAATATGACCCAAATATGTGACTCCGTATAGTTATGATAACTGTTATCAGTTCACAGTGTTCCTGTTTACAGATAATTACCAGTTTTGTACCGGTAAAATTAGGCTTGGACTGGTAATTTATGTGACTGTCAGTCCCTGTGGACCAGCAAATAAAGTACCTCATAAATTATTGTTGTTAAATAAAACACTGGTGATATTCAAATAAGGATATGTTTTTAACAAAGTCAGCTTGGCTGTTACCATCAGGGTTTCCCATTGTCCATTTTTAGTGCAAGGAGATAACATTTCGCTTTGGTTTGAGGTTAAATATATATTTGTAGCGACTTAGTCTCGAAATATTAAAACAAGAGTAAATTGTGACTGAACTGTGTGAATGACGAGTAGATCTAACTAAGTTACTTCAGAGATGACGCCATTGCAGTTTCAAAGCCAGTGGGAACTCTGAGTACAGGAGGACCTGGAATGTACTTATTGACTTTGGTCTGAAACAGGAGTCTTGTAAACTTTAATTTGGTCAAGTATGCTATTAAATAGGGATGAAACGACACAGCAAGGTCACGATATGATACATATCATGATGCATAGGTCACAATACGATACTTATCGTGATACACATATTTCCAGCAAATCTCATGGAAACTTCTTGACAATAAATATTTCAGAGCAGGTTCAAAAGGAAAAGCTAGCTATAGACACATAGAGAATCTCGGCCGAGTGTCTTGATATCAAATATATCAACACAATAAAAGTGGAAATACTCCAAGGTTTGCTGAGGAGTTTTTCCACTTTTATCAACGAGTGTTGATATATTTGATATCAAAAGACATGAGGGTGAGATTATATTTATCATCCAACATCATTCTTCCAACTTTTTCAGCTGGAGACAGAAATAAGCAGTGTCTAAGTGTAAAAAGTACTGCTAACAGCTTCAGTAGCAGAGCCTTTAGTGATGTGATTTGATTGTGACGTCATTGTAACCAATGACATCACAATGGTCTGCAAAGCATTGTGATGTAATTTCATTGCAGCGATATCTACAGTGTAGATATCGCTTGATCTCATCCCAGCTATATCTCCTGTGGGAGCCAGTTTTGGATGATAAATGTTCCCAGTAGCTACTTCTAGAAGTGAAGTTGAAACACTAAGTACAACACATTTTGCGATATCTAACTGACAAAAATGCCACGGGTATTAAACATGTAGAAAGTAATTTATTTCAGCAAGTGTATCTTGTATCGTATGGTCACAAGAGAATTCATAATGCACCAATGTATTGTTTCACCCCTACTGTTCAAGCTGATAATACTTCATATGTCATTGTAAGTTAACACTAAACTCTAAGGGTATCTTGTATCGTATAGTCACAAGAGAATTCATAATGCACCGATGTATTGTTTCACCCCTACTGTTCAAGCTGATAATACTTCATATGTCATTGTAAGTTAACACTAAACTCTAAGGGTATCTTGTATCGTATAGTCACAAGAGAATTCATAATGCACCAATGTATTGTTTCACCCCTACTGTTCAAGCTGATAATACTTCATATGTCATTGTAAGTTAACACTAAACTCTAAGGGTATCTTGTATCGTATAGTCACAAGAGAATTCATAATGCACCGATGTATTGTTTCACCCCTACTGTTCAAGCTGATAATACTTCATATGTCATTGTAAGTTAACACTAAACTCTAAGGGTATCTTGTATCGTATAGTCACAAGAGAATTCATAATGCACCGATGTATTGTTTCACCCCTACTGTTCAAGCTGATAATACTTCATATGTCATTGTAAGTTAACACTAAACTCTAAGGGTATCTTGTATCGTATAGTCACAAGAGAATTCATAATGCACCAATGTATTGTTTCACCCCTACTGTTCAAGTTGATAATACTTCATATGTCATTGTAAGTTAACACTAAACTCTAACATGTCTAAGGGTATCTTGTATCGTATAGTCACGAGAGAATTCATAATGCACCAATGTATTGTTTCACCCCTACTGTTCAAGCTGATAATACTTCATATGTCATTGTAAGTTAACACTAAACTCTAAGGGTATCTTGTATCGTATAGTCACAAGAGAATTCATAATGCACCAATGTATTGTTTCACCCCTACTGTTCAAGTTGATAATACTTCATATGTCATTGTAAGTTAACACTAAACTCTAACATGTCTAAGGGTATCTTGTATCGTATAGTCACGAGAGAATTCATAATGCACCAATGTATTGTTTCACCCCTACTGTTCAAGCTGATAATACTTCATATGTCATTGTAAGTTAACACTAAACTCTAAGGGTATCTTGTATCGTATAGTCACGAGAGAATTCATAATGCACCAATGTATTGTTTCACCCCTACTGTTCAAGCTGATAATACTTCATATGTCATTGTAAGTTAACACTAAACTCTAAGGGTATCTTGTATCGTATAGTCACAAGACAATTCATAATGCACCAATGTATTGTTTCA